TTTTTTTTTCAGTTGGAGTCTCACTCTGTCACCCAGACTGGAGTGCAGTAGCCACTCCCGACCACCACGGCCTCAACCTGCTGGGCTCCCGCAATCCTTCCATCTCAGCCTACCAAGTAGCTGGAACTACAGGCACACGTTACCATACCCAGCTCATGCCATTTCTTGCAACTATATGTGAACCTTACAATTATCTCAAAAAGTTCAGTTAAAAAAAAACTTTTTACGAATGTTGTAGCAGTATTATTTATAGTAGTCTCAAACTGAAAGCAACTCAAATACCCATCAACAGGGGAACAAATGAACAAATTATGCAATATTCAATCCATGGCATACCATTCAGTAGCAACAGGGTACAAAATATTAATACATATAACAACATGAATGAATCTCAAAAATATGATGCTAAGTGAAAATAATAAAACACCAACGATACACCATACTGCATAATTCCATTTACATGAAATGTACCAACAGAAAAATCAGTGACTGCTTGGAGGCAGGCTGTAGGGAAAAGATCAAGAACAAAGGGCAGGAGGAAACATTTTAGTATGAGGAACTATGGCTCCTTCTATAACTTGATTATGGCGGTGGTTACACAATTATAAATGATTACCAAAATTTTACATTGCACACATATAATTAGTGAATTTTATGACATTTAAATAATACCTTAAGGCACAAAAAAGAGAAAAAAATAAGGCTTAGAAAACTCATACCTGTTAGTGTTTTTCCGGCATTCAGAGGAGGAGCAATGACTCTGAAAAGTTTCTGCATTACAATGAATAGGAAAACAATCACCATAATCTCAAAGGATAATATTATTTTTTTAAAACTCAAAGAATCTTATGCTATTGGTCACTATTCTCTGATAGAAGTAGTCATTTGGTATTAAGATTACATATAAAAACTTTTAATATGAACATGAAATGTTAAGAAAGGTCACTGAGAAACAATCATTATCGTCATATTACTCATTGAAAGAAACCATTTAATAAATACCAGTTACACAAAGGTCTTTAAGGCTCAGATTATAATTTCTGATAAAAAGTATCCTTTGAGCCGGGCTCGTTGGCTCAGCCTGTAATCCCGCGCCTTTGGGAGGCTGAGGTGAGCGAATTGCCTGAGCCCGCGGGTTCGAGACCCGCCTGGGCAGCGAGACCTCATCTCTACAACGAATAAAAAAAAAAAAATCAGCCAGGCGTGGTAGTGCATGCCTGTAGTTCCGGCTACTTGGAAGGCTGAGGTGGATCGTCGGAGCCCAGCAGGTTGAGGCTGCGGTGGCCAGGAGCGGCCACTGCACTCCAGTCTGGGTGACAGAGTGAGACTCCAACTCAAAAAAAAAAAAGTATCCTTTGGTTCTTAAAAGAGCTTTATTCTTTAAGAAATAGTAAGCAAGTAAAGGGATTAACATTCTACTAAAGTGGTAGTGAAGATTACTTTAAACTAAAATCAACTAAACAATCAGCAGCCACAGAAAGAAACAATATCTAAACTTAAATAGAGCCTCCCAAAAATATAGCTGCCATGGACCTCCCTCAGAGAGTTTTCTGACTGGGAGAAGACTGACCCTTAGTATCAGGAAGTGCAAATTTAGCTGTCCATTAGCATCAAAAAGCCCAAAAGAACCTTCCACTAAAGACCTAACTCCATCCCCTCACCCTCGGTTTTGTTTTTGTTTTTGTTTTGAGTTGGAGTCTCACTCTGCTGCAGTCTCACTCTGCTGCCTCATGGCTTGCTCGACCTGCTGGGTTTAGGTGATCCTTCTGCCTCAGCCTTCCAACACCCTCGTTTTTTATTAAGCCAGTATATAAACCTTTACTGCTATTCAGCAGAGCTACTCATTACTGAGTACTCCTGCACACTTGTGAATAAATCTTGTCCTTTCACCTGTTAATCTTTATATTGTCAGAAGAGAGGTACAACCAAAATTAAAGAGTTATGAATTAGAGGGATACTCATTCTACCAAGCTTAATGTACTTAAAGAAGTCTGAACTATCATAAAATGACTGCTGACTTCAAAATATTGAAAATAGTTTTGGATGGCAATAAACCTGCAAAAAAAGTTGACTGGATGCCCTCAGTGGATGCCTGGCTTTTTGAGGTTTTTAGGCACATAATAAAGCATTGGGCTGGGAGGGTACTATATGTGTCTGCAACCCATTATCCACAATTCTGTCCTCAAATTTCCAGGTGCTGGAAAATTTCTGTTGGAATCCCAGAGACTTCATCTCCCTTCCTCTTTCACCTCACTCTCTACCAGGGAATGCTCACATGTACAGATGGTATCCATTAGGTCAGGTTACCTCTAGTATCTATGAGGTTTGGTCAATGGATATCGCCAGAGGAATAACAAGATGGATATGGGGTTTGGTTCTTAAGCCCAAATACTTTCAGATGATCTTGGTAAGGTAAATTAAAAAATTGTCACAAATGCTATAAAATTGTGAATAGGGAAAAGCAACAAATTAGCAATTAACAAATACCAGCCTCCTACTATTTTCAGGACCCTTCCCCAGCAGAATATATCTACAAATAGCATTACCCGATAGCACATTTATTATAGACAATAACTATACACAATATATTTCTTACATCTTTTGGAAAACTTTTGTTATAGTATAAAAAATTCTTAGGAGAAAAAAAGTAAAGTCTAATAAGCAAGCATTACTTTAAACTTCATCTATTGTTTCCTGGTATTTAAAAACCTACTTACAAGCCGGGCTTAGTGGCTCAGCCTGTAATCCCGCACCTTTGGGAGGCTGAGGTGAGTGGATTGCCTGAGCCCGCGGGTTCAAGACCCACCCGGGCAGCGAGACCTCATCTCTACAACAAATCAAAAAATCAGCTGGGTGTGGTAGCGCATGCCTGTAGTTCTGGCTACTTGGAAGGCTGAGGCAGAAGGATCGCCGGAGCCCAGCAGGTCCAGGCTGCGGTGGCCAGGAGCGGCCACTGCACTCCAGTCTGGGTGACAGAGTGAGACTCCAACTCAAAAAAAAAACAAAAAAAACCTACTTACAAAAATAAGAAAAAAGCAATGGCAGAAGGTATGAAATTAAAGACTACATAATGGTCCCAAGCTAATGTAGGTGCAAGTCTCATAAACATATAAGAAATTTTAAAACGACTGGATGAAAACAGAAATTTTTCAAAGCAAATGGAGAACAGGAAACATTAGTAGACCATAGTAAATATGCATCCAAGTTAGGAATTGTCTTACCTCCATTGGACTAATAAATTCATTCATGCCTCTGTTGTAGACATAGATCATAGCATCATATAAACGATTTTCCCAACACATGAGAACTACCTGTAAAAAGGAAAAGCTATTTTGTCCATACAATTCAGTATGTCTCACTAATTATTTTCTTTAAAGCTTTAAGAGTAAAGAAGACCTTAAATTTCTTCCCTGATTTTTCTCATTTCTTCTACGACAAAAATGGAAGTTGAAGTACTTAAACACAATGCCAGGGCAAGAGCTGCTGTAGGTTCAGTACTATTTGTAACAGTGCAGCAGTACAATAGTTACTTTTAAATATTCTCCAATGCCTAATTTTGCTTCTTCTCTATCTTCCCCCTTTCCATATTCATTTTACCTTTGGTCAATAGCTCTACAAGTATTTACTGAACACCTATATCCAGCCCCTCTCCTAGGCACTGGGGATAAAGTGATGGATAAGACAAATCCTAGTCACTATCCTTATTGAACTTACATTCATTTTGGACACTCCCCAAAAGAAGAAAGGGGCACAAAATGGCATATGAGTAAAGACTTGGGGAAGATAATTATACAAACAATTTATTATTTACAAATGTGATAGATGTTATAAACCCAACTCGATCTGGAGTATTCAAAAAGTCATCCATGAGGATACAATATTTAAGTTAGGACCTAAGGGATAGATGGATATGAGCCCACTGGAAACTAGGGATTCTGCTGGCAGAAGAAGCAGTGAGGATGAAGTGAGCTTGAAGTGTTTAAGAATGGAGAAAAATCAACCTGAGAAAACATTTAGAAAGAGGAATAGATATGACTCAGAGTACAGAGTATAGAGTTCTATCCCTGTGAGAGCTATATGATACTATACAGTGGCAAGAAGCCTAGAGGAGAAGAGCAGAAGTCAGCAAAGGAGAATGGTAAGGAGGAGCCAGAGAGGTAAGAGGGAAAATGAAAGTGAGGTGTCTTGGGAGAGTCCTTCTAGAGAAGATGTGTTCTGGGACCTCTTCTCTCTCTCTCCCCTCTTTCTCACAGAGTGTCATAATCATACATTTCCTCAGTGAGAACTAACACATTTACAGCTTCAGTCCTGACCTCTCTCTGACCTAAATATCTAACCACTTACCTGATATCTTTACCTGAATGTCTAGCTATCTTAAAATAAAAGAGAAAAATCTCCTGATTTTATCTTTCAAACTTAGACCTGCCCCAATCTTGCAATATTCTTTCTTTTTTTTTTTTTTTTTTTTTTGAGTTGGAGTCTCACTGTGTCGCCCAGACTGGAGTACAGTGGCCGCTCCTGGCTACTGCAGCCTCGACCTGCTGGGCTCCGGCGATCCTTCCGCATCAGCCTTCCGAGTAGCCGGAATTACAGGTGAGCGCTACTACGCCCAGCTGATTTTTTGATTTATTGTAGAGATGAGGTCTTGCTGCCCAGGCGGGTCTCGAATCCACGGGCTCAGGCAATCCACGGGCTCAGGCAATCCACTCACCTCAGCCTCCCAAAGGCGCGGGATTACAGGCTGAGCCACCGAGTCCGGCTCGCAATATTCTTAAAGGAAGTACTATCCACCCCGTTTCTCAAATCAAAAAACTAGGCATTATCCTTAAATTCTCTCATTCCTACATTCTCATACCCTTATATCCAATTCATCAGCAAATCATTTATATCCCCAAAGCATCCAAAATCAGTCCATCTCTATCCATCTCAGTGCTACCACCTCTGGCCAGAATGACCTCTTGGACCAGCCTCCTACTTATTCTCTTTGCTTCCTCTGTATGTGACCCCCATTCCTCATTCTGTTCCCTTAAAGCAAACCACAATGCTCTTGTTTAAAATTTTCTACTGATTTTTCATAGCGCTTAGAATAAAATGCAAATATTTGTAACTTGCCCCACAAGATGTACCTTTCTCATTCACCAAGTTACAGATCTGCTTGCTTTTTTCTGATACTTGGACACCCAAATATAATCCCTTTTCTTTTTTTTTTTTTTACATTGGTCGTTCCTTTTACCTATAACAGTCTTCTCTTCCAAGATCTTTGCATTACTGATTCCTTCTTGTTATTCAGATTCAGGACTCAATATTACTTCCTCAGAAAGGCTTTCTAAAATCCGCCAATCTAAGGTAGCTCCTCATTCCCCCTCTACAATATTACCCTGCTTGATTTTTAATATAACACTTGTTTGTGGATATTTTCTGGTTTGTTTATATTTGTCTTTTTACTCTCAAACTTTTCTGCTAAAATTTAAGCTCTATGAGAGGACAAGTCTTGTTCACCAGGGACACTAAATCATCCTCAGAGCATGACACTCAATAAATGTTTCTTGAATTAATGAACAATTTTGTTAAAAGGGTAAATAAAAAATGGATTGAAAAGTGTCATTTGATATAGTGGATATTGAGGCCATTGTTGACTCTAGTAAAAGTAAAAAAAGATTAATAGTTATTATTAAAAAAAAAGGAAATAGCAACTTAGTCAATGCTTTCAAGAAATCTGGTTATGACTGGGAGGAGTGACATGGGGCAGTAACCTAGGGGAAGGAAGTGGAGAGGGCTTGATGTGGAGACAGAAGAAACTGAAGCCATGATTTTTTTAAACTGTTGTTTTAACATTAAAAAGACTAGAGAGCCGGTTTGGTGGCTCAGCCTGTAATCCCGTGCCTTTGGGAGGCTGAGGTGAGTGGATTGCCTGAGCCCGCGGGTTTGAGACCTGCCTGGACAGGCAAGACCTCATCTCTACAATAAATCAAAAAATTAGCTGGGCGTGGTAGCGCACGCCTATAATTCCAGTTACTCAGAAGGCTGAGGCGGAAGGATCGCCGGAGCCCAGCAGGTCGAGACTGCGGTGGCTGGGAGCGGCCACTGCACTCCAGTCTGGGTGATCGAGTGAGACTCCAACTCAAAAAAAAAAAAAAACTAGAGAATATGTACCTGGTATTGAGAAAAAGCTGAAAGAGAATAAATTTTAAATATTGGAAAGAAAATAAATTTTAAATTTCTCTTATGTGTGACAGATACATAAAGCCAGAGTGATAACATGCTCGCAAATAATTGGCCCTATTATCAGACTATGAAGATTATGCCAAATTATCCATATAACTGGAAGTTATTTATAAGAGATCTGGTTTTACTTTGCAAGCAAACAGCTATTCATAAAGAGCTTCTAAAAATAAAACAATAACCATTTTTCCAAACCTTTAATTTCTTTTTTATCACATATCTTTTTATTTAAATTTAATTTTTTTATTTTAAAGATGTAAGGTACAATTTAGGATTAGGTATACAAGTGGTCATTGTACAGGTAAAGTTTGGGTCTCCCTTTGGTCCCCATTTTACCTGGTTCAAACTCTTAATTTCTATGTGATTTTGCACACTTTAAAAAAAGTTAAGCTGGGCTCAGTGGCTCAGCCTCTAATCCCAGCACTTTGGGAGGCCAAGGGAAGTGGATTGCCTAAGCCCACGGGTTCGAGACCAGGCTGGGCAACTTGGCGAGACCTCACCTCTACAATAAATCAAAAATTAGCTGGGCATGGTGGCGTGCGCCTGTAGTTCAGTTACTTGGAAGGTTGAGGCAGAAGGATCGCTGGAGTCCAGCATGTCATCAATGCTGGGGTGGCCGTGAGTGTGCCACTACACTCCAGCCTGGGTGACAGAGTGAGATTCCAACTCAAAAAAAAAAAAAAGTTTGGTCTAAGACCTTTGTAAGTCACCCTTTCAGCTTAACATCTTTGCATGGGTAACATGCTCATTATTAGGACTAATGTAGAATTCAATAAATAAATTGTAAAATGTCTTAGGTCAGTTAAGAATTGAAAATCTGGCTGAGCACGGTGGTTCACGCCTGTAATCCCAATACTTCAGGAGGCAGAGGTGAGAGGACTGTATGAACCCAGGGGTTCAAGACCAGTCTAAACAGCTTGTGGAGACCTCATCTCTACAATAAATACATTTAAAAAATAAGCCAGCCGTGGTGCTGAGCACTTGTGGTTCCAGCTACTTGAAAGGCTGAAGCAGAACTGCCTGAGCCCAGCAGGATGAGGCTGCAGTAGCCGTGAGTGTAGCACATACTGCACTCCAGTCTCAGTGACAGAGTGAAACTCTGACTCAAAAAAAAAAAAAAAAAAAAAAGAACTGAAAATTTATTGTGGGAACTTTAGATATCCTGAGGGTATTTTATCAAACAAACAATGAGCTGGCTGATCATGCTAAGAAGTCCTGTAATTTGCCTCTAATACCATACTGCATTTCAAAACTCACTTCTGGACTTATATACTAACTCTTTTTTAAAATGGCATTATAAGCTGGGCTCGGTGGCTCAGCCTGTAATCCCGCGCCTTTGGGAGGCTGAGGTGAATGGATTGCCTGAGCCCGCGGGTTCGAGACCCGCCTGGGCAACTTGGTGAGACCTCATCTCTACAATAAATCAAAAAATTGGCCGGGCATGGTTCCAGCTACTTAGAAGGCTGAGGTGGAAGGATCGCCGGAGCCCAGCAAGTCGAGGCTGCGATGGCCGGGAGCGGCCACTGCACTCCAGTCTGGGTGACAGAGTGAGACTTCAACTCAAAAAAAAGAAGAAAAAAATGGCATTATACTCGTAAAGGTAAAAATAGTATATTACTCATGTTAAACTACTCATAGTTGATTGAAATTTACCTGCTAGATGAAAACTATATATGTAAGCAAACTGATGAAGAAAGATTTGTCAACAAGCATTTATTGAGCAACTTCTAAATGTAAACTCTGCCAAGAGCTCTGAGGGATGTCAAAGAAACATAAGACACTCTCTGACTTGCAGGCATTTATAACCTAGCTTTCACTTAAGTGTAGTCCTAAGAGATATACTGACAAATCCAAGCTTATAAGACATCTTACCAAAAGTGCTCAATAAATAATTAGGGTTTTTAAAGGCAAGAGTGAGGCCTGATCAGTTAGGTAAATATAATCAATAAAGAAATAAAGTTTATTTCATAAGTCAGTAGATGGTCTATAAACTCACCTGCTGAATATCTAGGCTGGTGATATCCATATGGACAATAAGAGCTTCTACATTTTCCATTAATTTTTTATCTTGGAAATGAACAAGCAAGTCTTTCATTACCTGGGGTGTAATTCCCACCAATTTATCACTTAAAATATATGGTTCAAGGCACTCCAAAAACACTCCTTTGGCCACTGAATTCTCACTTAATTTGTCATACATCTGGCTAAATAAAAGATCCCTATAACAGAAAGGGAAAAAAATACTTTTAGCAGCATTTCAAATATCCATTAAATTTAGTCACCTAAGTATGCCTCATCTTTCCCCTATTTCAACTTACTCATGAGTGTATTAAAAACAGTAACAATATTTGTATAGAGATTTATGTTCCAAAAACTTTATATATATATATATATATATATACACACACACACACACATACACTCACACATATATATGCAATCTCAATTAATCTTCCCAATACTTCCTTTACAAATAAGAAAATTTGAATAAGTTAAATTATTTGCTGAAAATCACATAGCTAACAAGTAAGAAAATCAGAATTTGAACGCAGCCTTCTGGCTTAAATCCTGTGTTCAGTCTATTGTGGCATACTGCTTGTTAAAGACAATATTGACATGGGAATGGGTATTAGGGTGGACATAATGAAATAGAAAAAAAAGTTAAAAGGACTATTCATATTTTATCCTTTCCTTCTTCCTGGTATTTAAATATTCCTAGCGACTTGCAGAGCCAATATTTTTCTTTCTCTTTCTCTAACTCTTTACTTCTCAAAATGTTGGGTACTGATTATTGATGAAAGAAAAATAAAAAATGTTTATGACTTAAAATATACACCTAAAAACAATTTTACTGCAGAAACAAAAATTTTTAAACTACTTTAAATGTTGCCCTCAATTTTTATTTATTTCATATCTCTTCTATAAATAGTCTATAAATATGAGTAATACTAGCATAGATATAATTCTGAATTGTTTTCATGCAACACTGTATAATAAGCATTACTCTAAGTTGCTATTTACTCTTTAAAATTATCATTTTGTCTAATTCACAATGCTTTAACATGCTAAAACATCAGAATTTACTTTACTGTCTTGTAGTGTTGGATATATCACTTATTTCCAGTATTTTGAGTGATGCCACAATGAACACCTACATCTATAGCCTTTTTCATTTTGGAACTTTAATTCCTTAATAATTCAACTTTTAGAATTTAAGTAAAAAGATATGAAAAATTTTGTGGCACTTGAAATATGTTACTAAATTATCTTCAAAAAGTATCACAGCCTCAATTTACGTTGCCACTAGCAATATATGCTCATACCAGTTTTACCAGACAATTGTGAGTTTGGTTCCCCCCAGATAATCTAATTAGTGCAAATTAAAAATCACTGTTTTAATTACCTTGTGAATGGCAAAACTGAATATTTTCTATGTTTCCATTATATCATTCACTTATTCATTTGTTCCATATTTTTTAATACAAAAACTGTGAGAACTGTATTTACCTGTTAGAATTATTTATTTTTTCTAAAAGTGTAATTTCTTTATATGTGTACCATGTCAATTTTGGAAAACAGTAGATGGTTTGTTTATTGACAGGTGTGGCCTATCTTGAAAAGTTTCACCTAAAGGACAAGGAAGCTCTTGAAAGAAATAGGATGTGGTTTTGCCTCATCTGAAGTCCTGGAAAGAGACAGGTGGAAAACAGACTGGCTACTACCAAGCAAAAACTACATGCCATCTTTCAATAAAAAGCATTTGCAATATCCTGGGGGAAAATCTATATCCATTACTTTTTTCCTCAAATGCACAAATGTAATTTTGTTTCATTTTCCCCTCCACTTCATATTTATCAGAGTATTTTTCGTGTTAGTTTCATTTTAATCAATAGTTCATCATATTTTTGTGATTACCAATTATTAGCCAAGCAAAAGAAACTGAGATTAGTGGAGTTTTACTGTAAGAAAAAAAGGGGAATACAGTAACTACTGAATTTAAAGAAAACGTAAGATTTGCTAGCCTTTGCATTCTGTAATGTGCAGTTCTTTTAAAATACTATAGAAAATAATTATATATTTTAGTTCAGTATAAAAAGCCTTGGGGAGGAGAATTACAGCGAGCTAAAAATTCAGTAAACAGAGCATAAAAGTTGACAAGGCATTCCTGTGACAAAGAGTAGCATGTAATGCTAGCAAGATTAAAGGCAAAACTACACACTTCTTTCTCAATCAATCAGAGGCTATAATATAAAGAAGTAAGAAAAATAAGACTCAGCAATTCCTATCTGCATCTCTATCTTAAAATAAAAATAAAACAAAATTTCAATACAAGTTCTCATCATTCTGGAAGAATATTTATTGAGCATCAGAAGAGGGGGGAGAAGGAAAAATACACATACAAAAAGGTTTTAGTTCTCATGTTTCTTTTTATATTTAGGCTTTATTCTCCAGGGTGCTGACTTTGTTTCCTAGAAGGGCTGTTTGCCATTTCAAGCTTGGCCTCCCTATGGCCTATATATAACAGAAAATCCATCATGAATAATAGAGAGCCAAAGAGATTTTTCTACAAACTTCACTTTATATTAATACTCACATTAAAGGCTTTTTTGGAGTTTTATCATTTATAACATCAAATAGATAGAAAAACAGTTAAATTAACTTTGTACATTATCAATTTTATAAATTTTTTAAATGTGAAAAGCTGCTTTGATTATAAGACAGTTACAAATTCAGAACTGTCTGAAAGGAGCAAGGGCATAAATCATAACACTTGCCAAGCTATACTAAGTATGTAACCAGAAGCAAAGAAATAAATTACCACTAAATATAAGTGGGATTTAATACATACACAGTTGACTTGGCCTAGTCTCCTTATTTATAAAAGTAAAAGCAAAACTCAAATGAACTTTAAGAAATTGTGTTAAAAATACTCTCTTTTCTGATACAAGTATCACAGTTTATAAAGATTTTCTTTAAAAAGGCAGGGCTTAACTGTGGTAATGGTTATACAACTCCAAATATATTAAAAACTACTGAATTGTATATTTTAAAAGGATAAATTTTATGGTATGTGAATTACACCTCAATATAGCTGTGACACAATTAAAAAGGCATGATACAGTTCCCCCTAGCTTTGGTACTTAACATTCTAACATGCAATTATAAAAAAAATGGCAGTCCAAAGTTCCAGTTCTTCACCCATGCTTGATAATTAAAATGTCTCTGTTTCTCTAACAACAATCCTTACTGATGTTGAACACATGTATGAACAAATATCTTGGCAATTTTTTTTTTTTGAGTTGGAGTCTTTAACTCCGTCGCCCAGGCTGGAGTGCAGTGGCAAACTCATAGCCACCCCAGCGTCGCCTCAGCCTTCCAAACAGCCAGAACTATAGACACGTGCTACCATGTCCGGCTAATTTTTGATTTATTGTAGAGATGAGGTCTTACCAAGTTTTCCAGGTTGTTCTCGAACCCATGGGCTCAAGCAAACCCCTCACTTTGGCCTCCCAAAGTGCTATGATTATAGGCTTGAGCCACTGTACCCAGCCAACAATTTCATAAAAACTCAAAGTGATATCATCCTAGAGCATCTACTTTGTTTTGTTTTAGAACTGCTTTATTGTGATATAGTTCAAAAATAATAATATAACACTTATTTTTAAATAATGTTCAAAATTATGATTATGGTCTATTTAAAATCAGGACCTATTTTCAAAATAAGATGACATTACAGCTACTATGTAGCTATTATATAACCTGTATTTTATACAGGTAAAGTGACAAATCATTAAATATCCTAGAAAAAAGCCTTAAAATATTTTATATCTTTTGTTCAATACTGATAAAAAATATATACAACCAAAATGAAATAAAATTGTGAAACAGAGATCAAATTATAAAAATAAAGTATTTTATTTAAAGTATTTATAAAGTGTAGTGGCTCATGCCTATACTCCCAGCACTTTGGGAGGATGAGGCGAGAGGACTGTCAAAATCCAGGAGTTCGAGACCAGACTGGGTAACATGGTGAGACCTTGTATACAATAATCAAAAAATTAGCCAGATACAGTAGTGCATGCCTGTAGTCCCAGCTACTTGGAAGGCTGAGGCAGAAGGACTGTCTGAGCCCAGCAGGTAGAGACTGCAGAAACCGTGGTCATGCCATTGCACTCCAGCCTGAGTGACAGAGCTCTGATTTAAAAAAATAAAAATAAAATAAAGTATAAGTCTTTAAAAACAGAATCCCTGTCAGTGCTGATATTAAGTAACCTATTGAAGACTCTAAAGCCAAATTTTAACCAAAAAAAACAGTCCACACACATTGATCAGTATGCCCTACAGAGAAAAACAAATGTGGTTCCTGTCATGGTAAAAATAACTTTACATTACAAAGGAGTTATTCAATATGAATAGAAATATACATACACAAGTTCAATTAATATTACTGCTGGGTATAAAATTCTATACTATCACAGAGAGTACAGTGTAATATGTACTAAAATTAATTTCAGAGAAACAATACAACATATAAAAATAAAAGGACTGACTAATGTATTCAATCAGAAGATGTTAATATTAAAGGAATCTGGGCCAGGATTGAGTGTTTGAGTAATGACACTAGAGGTGAAAGAGGTTACCTAAAATTGGCTGAGTACTAGATTATGGTTTATAAGATTGTGTTTGCTTCAGGCAAAATTTGAACATTTCTTAAAACACTGTTAATGTCACAAGATATTTCTCAAATTGGATATTGCAGAAGAGAAGAACCTAGATATAAATAGGACCAAATGTCAAAGAGGATAGCACAAAGAGAGTGTGTAGTTTAAGGAGAAGGATACTGTACTGGAATGAAGCTACACACATCTGACAGTCTGCTGCTACATACATCTGATTCACTTTAGCCTAGGGAATGGACTGTTTTTAACCTTATCATCTATGACAACTCTGAGAAAAAAAATTATAAAAGCTCTACATTTAAGAGTTATTACACTGAACTATTTAAGCACAGAATTTTTACATCTAATAAATCTTCAAATATTGCATGTTTGAAATGAAAGGAAACTGAAAGCCTAGACAGAAAGAATAAAACGTGATCAAATGGCTTATTCAACCTTTTCTTCTAAGCTCAAGACCATATATAGAATCTTAACATTCTGATGAAAAAGAAAGGCCAGTGAAGTGAGAAGGAAGCAAGCACAAGAGCACAGATCAAGAACAAAAGAGGGCACAGAGGCTTATGCCTGTCATTCCAGCACTCTAGGAGGCCTAGGCAAAAAAATTACTTGAGCCCAGGAGTTTTACATCAGCCTAGGCAAGATAACAAGACCTTGTCTCTATAAAAAATCAAGTTAGTTGGAAATGATGGTGCACACCTATAGTCTCAGATACTTAGGAGGCTGAATGATCACCTGAGCCCATGATCATGCCACTGCACTGCACTCCAGCCTGGGTGACAGAATAAGACCCTGACTCAAAAAAAAAAAAAAAAAACAAGAACAAAAGAGGGAACATTTGACCCAATGCCTAGTTGCACAGCTCCAACTTTTCCTGTATCAATGAGAATACTGCCCTGTCCTTGATGCCTGTACTGGTACCTAAAGAGTAAGAGAAGAGAAAGAGATCAGGAGGGAAAGAGAAAGAACACACATGCTGGAACCTCTCCCATTCAGAAACAGGATCTAATACAATCCAGTCTTCAGCCTTAGGAAACAATTGAGAATGAAGGAAACCATACAGTTTGTACAATGGTCCAGGGAAAATGTCCACACCCTTGATCTATGAGTGTGTGTATATCAGCAGGAGGAAGAACAGAAGAAAGGGCTATAAGAAGGACCAGGAAGAGCTGATAAAAAGATCCTTGAAATTTCCCCTCCCCTTGGAGGTCAGGAATATACTATGACTACCGTTATTTCTCCCTCAGATCTCCAACAACAAATACTACATATGTTTCTGAAACAATTCAGAAGAAAATATGCTAAGGAGTCAGGAAAATTAAAGGAAAGAAGATGGCAAAAAGAAGAAATAATAAATAGATCCTAATTTGGTGAAAATCTAGACCAAATTTTATCTTCTATGCTATATGCTGTGTTTTAATGCAGAAATTATTGCATTCTCAGTCAGTCAACAGATTAAATAAAGTTACAGAATACTTCCTTTTCAAATCATAAATGAGGGAGGACCAAAAAAACAGAATTTATTTAAAAAATTTTTTTTAATTTTAATTTTTTTTTTTTTATTTTTTAATTATGATATTGTGGGGTACAGTTAAGGGTTTAAGTATACAAATATGCTTCGTTCAGGCACCCTTGTTGATAAGAGGTATCTCCCCGTCCCCAGACAGATGTGTATTTATTCTTATATGTTTAAACTTCAGTCACCTTCAAAGTACTCTCCATTTGATGCAATACACCTATCAAGATGCTTTTTTCCACTGCTCAAAACAGTTTTTGAACTCACTGATTTTGATGACTCTTAATGCTTCTGCTGTTTTTTTTTTTTGTTTCAGCTCTTCTACATCGACAAAACGTTTCCCTTTGAGGACTTTTTTCATCCAGGGAAACAAAAAAAAGTTGCTTGAAGTGAGATTGGGTGAATAGGAAGGATGGTGTGTAGGGGTCATGCCATTTTTGGTCAAAAACTGCTGAACACTCAGCACAGTGTGGTGTAAGAACACAAGTCATTCTACCAAAAAGACACTGCAAGCATATGGTTCATTGCAGCACTATTCACAATAGCAAAAACATGAACCAACCCAAATGCCCATCAAAAATAGACTGAATAAAGAAAATGTGGTACATACAAACCATGGAATACTATGCAGCCATAGGAAGAATAGAATCATTGCATTTGCAATAACAAGGATTTAGCTGGAGGTCATCATTCTAAGGAAATTATCACAGAAATAGAAAACTGAATATCACAAGTGCAAGTTAAATACTGGGCACATACAGGCACAAGGATAGGAACAACAGACACTGAGGATTACTAAAGGATGAAGGGAGGATAAGGGTTGAAAAACTACCCATTGGGTATCATGCTTACCACCTGGAGAGCAGACTCATTAGAAGCCCAAACCTCACTATCACTCAACAGACCTACGTAACAAACCTGCACATGTACCCCTTGAATCTAAAATAAAATAACATTTAAAAAAAAGAACACTTTTATACCTCCATTTCCTCATCTGAAAAATGAGTATAACATTACCTCTTTCTGCACTGTATTGATAAAGATTAAAATATATATGTAAAACTGAGCCATAAATGTGTGTGTGTGTGTGTGTGTGTGTGTGTGTGTGTGCGCACGCGCGCGCGCACACACAAAGGCACGAGGTGGCCAATGCAAAAGAGCCTTTCCTCAGAATTTGGCTGGTCTGAACCTGAGATTCACATCTGTGAAATGGGCCTACGAGGCCCCTAGGACCATCCACTCTATATATTCAGGACTTCTTTTTTTTTAAGATGTGGGGAAGCCATAAACTATTAAGGCTGCTTAAAAAATACAAGATAAGTAACAAGAAAATAAGTGTGAAAAGTGGGGTAAAAAGAAAACCAAGTTAAAAAAAGACAAGATGAGGTTAGTAAATATATCACGGCACTTTGCTTTTTAAGAAACAGTGATTAGCTACACTGTGACTCAGCTAAAAGTGAGTTAGCTGTTTAGAAGATACAAAGGCATTTCTGGCCCTAACACCTGAAAGAAATTTCTCCCTTAGGCCCTCATAAAGAAGACAATGTGTAATATAAAGAAATGTTTCAACAACATTTCTACTATAAATACAATATATTTCACTAGATAATTACATAACACTATAGCTAAACCATGGGAATAAATTTGAGCTTCAAGTAAGCAGAACTTAATATAGCTATTTATGATTCAATTAAAGGTCTGACCCAGGAAATAACTGCCCTCTTGGTAACATCCACTGATATTTTCTTTTTTTTTTTGAGTTGGAGTCTCACTCTGTCACCCAGACTGGAGGACAGTGACCACTCCTGGCCACCGCAGCCTTGACCTGCTGGGCTCCGGCGTTCCTTCTGCCTCAGCCTTCCAAGTAGCTAGAACTACAGGCGCGCACTACCACGCCCGGCTGATTTTTGATTTATTGTAGAGATGAGGTCTTGTCAAGTTGCCCAGGTGGGTCTCGAACCCTCAGGCTCAGGCAATCCACTCACCTCAGCCTCCCAAAGGTGCAGGATTACAGGCTGAGCCACTGAGCCCGGCTCATCCACTGATACTTTCAAAGTATGATCCAGCCTGCTAAGAATCAGGCTACTGGGATATCCATAAATTCATGAGCCAAGTCAGTGTTGTACAGGATTTTAGGAGTATCTACATTAAGTCCTCACATTTGTTCTCTATCACTTAGAAAGAGGTACAAGATAGTGGATAAAACCATGAAACAGCAGCTAGACTCCTATATTTGAATTCCACCTTTGCCCCCCAAAAGCTGTGGGAGTGAGTTATGGCAAGTTATTTAATTATTTTCTGTTTCTGGAACCTCTTATATAAAATAGGATAAAAATGATACCTACCCTCATTGTTATGAAAATTAGATAAGTTGTTATAAAAATAAGATAAATTAAGGTAAAGGGCTTAGAACAATATTTTGCTATTATTATTAGTGTGAAAAAACTGAATAAGCACAGGTTTGTTCGTTTACATAGCTACTATTTAAACTAACAAAGCCTAATCAAGAGTTCAATACACAGATATCTTCAAACCAAAAGGCTTTTTAAAAACCAATATTACATAAGCACAATGAATCTGGCCTTTTTTGGGTTGATGAAATACTGTGTTTTAATGATGGCTCATAAAAGAGTATATATACCATAAAAAGGATATCTAAATAGTACATGAATCATATACGTTTTACTTTTAAGACCCTTACATAGCACTGATCTTTTGTTAGTTATGTTCTTTCCTCCATTATTCTGCCATACAAATACATGATACACCCATAGCATCTGTTTTAGAAAAGTTAATTTTATTAGGTGAATAAACTGAAAACTGCTAAAGAATCAAATTTCTATAAATTAATTTTTTAAATACATCCAGTAAAATTGATAGGAATGACATACATAAAAGGCTACCTATGTTCAAAATAATTGAATCTGACAGGCAATGCATACTCACTTTCTCTGCAGCAGAAGGCAGTAATCAACTATGACAGGCACCATATCCTGTAGAGGAACCATAAAGAAAGTATCAGCTCCACAACTCTGTCCAGTGGCCCAATGATAATGAAAGAGGTCTGCTTAAGAGGATGTTAGATTGTTGGGAGGCTATAACTTTGTACCATGCTTCGGTAAACAATTTGGCACTATGTGTCAAGTCTTAAAAATATAGCACTTTGAGCTTTAGCCTCCTCCCCTACCTTGAAGAAGTGAATCTTTTCTCTCTCTAATTTACTTTATTTTATTTTATTTTTAGTTAGAGTCTCACTCTGTCACCCAGGCTGGAGGGCAGTGGCACACTCCCAGTCACCACAGCTTGGACCTGCTGGGCTCTGGTGATCCTTCTGCCTCAGCCTTCCAAGGAGCCGGAACTATAGGCGTGCAATACCATGCCTGGTTAAATTTTTTTTTTTATTATTGTAGAGGCGAAGTCTTGTCAAGTTGCCCGGGTGGGTCTCGAACCCACGGGCTCAGGCAATCCTCTCACCTCGGCCTCCCAAAGTGCTGGGATTACAGACTGAGTCACTGAACCTGGCCTCTAATTTACTTTTTAAATAAACTATATATATTTCCAATCTAGTATATATATATACTAGATTGGAAATATATATAACACAAATTTCCAGTGTGTTTTATATATATACATTTTTATATACATATATAAAGCACACTGGAAATTTATCCTAAATACATTTAAGAAATTATTTTAATGTATCAGGGTATGGCACCACAGCTTTGTAACAGAGGGAGTTTGAAGGAGGGGAAGGGAAAGTGAGAAAGGGGAAAAAAGAAATAGGAATTAAATTCAATATACAACATAGAAAAATAGTTAAGTAAAATGTGCTATTTGAATAAAATATTATGTATCTATTACAAGTTTATAAAGAGTTTACAATAACACTAAAACAAGTCATAGGTGAAAATATGTATTGCACAGACATGTAAAGAAAATTTGCTAAGAAAAAAATATATGAAACTGATGATAGGATATGCTTGATCCTGTCGGTAGCTCAAGTGATTAAGGTTGCCCATATTTTGCCACACTCCTCCAAACTGGCTATTTTAAGAATGACTTAACTTCTCAGTTTCATAATATTTTGATTGCTATAAATTCATCATGTACGGACTCATATCAAGCGAGTGGCAACCTGTAATTGGGTCCCTTTCAAAGGAAAGAGTCTGAGGGAGAAACAGTAGCTTATTATGACTAGAAATTGTCAAGTAACCAAGCCTCAGATTTCAGGAGTACCCTTTCTTTTTCTCTGGCTACAGGGAAATAGTTTCCTTTAAAAAAAAAAAAAAAGCCAGGTGTGGTGGCTCATGCCTATAATCCCAGCACTTTGGGAGACTGAGGTGAGAGGACTGCCTGAGCTCACTGGTTGGAGACCAGCCCGGACAACTTGGCGAGACCTCATCTCTACAATAAAATTAGCCAGGGATGGTGGTGTGTACCTTTGGTTCCAGCTACTTGGAAGGCTGAGGTGGAAAGATCACCTGAGCCCAGTTGCAGTGGCAGAGAATGTGCCACTGCCCTCCAGCCTAGGAGACAGAGTGAGAATCCAACTCAAAAACAAAACAAAACAATTTAGTAATATCTAGGCAGAAATCCTATCAGAAAGAAGGCACTATGTGAAAAGGGCACTAAATATGCTAATACTCATCTGATAAAAAGGTCAAAACTAAAAAACACTTATTATTTGCAAGAGAGGAGTTGGAAGTAGAACCTATAATCCTGAAAAGATCAATGGGCTAGCTCTGACCCATCCTGCTTCCTTTAGTTATCAATATTCCTTATGATTTTAGATTCTTATTTAGAGTCTTCAAGAATAAAAACTAAAATTACAGATTTGAAAAGTGTTAGAGCTATATCACATCTCAAACATGAATGAAAATATAGTGGGCTAGATATGGGGGGCCAAGAGGGAGCTTCTTTCCTAGAAATGCTAGCGAAAATTTAATAAACATCTTTAAAATACACAGCTGAGCTCCCAAGAAGATAAGGGCAACATCCAGGGTCTAAAAGTGAAAGGGGGACTGAAAACCAAAGCAATAAGCTCCAATCCTCACTGATACTTTCCCGTAGGCTTGATGGTAACAGAAGAGGCCAGAAAAAAGCTAAGGCCTTAGACCCTCATAGCATAGGGAACTGGAGCAGAGGACCTGCCTAAAACCAGAATTTTAAAAAGCTGCATCCTAAGTGAAAAGAAATTAGAAAAAAAAAATGAGACAGACAAGGAAGGTTGACTATCTCATCCTGGAATCAGTGGGGGTAAATTTATACTCTCCAAGAATCAAGACACTGCCCACAGGTAGACTTGGGATTTGAATTTATACTATCTCCTTACTAGGGGAATAATCAAGCCAAAAAGTTCACAGAAAAAGTGATTTTGAAAAAAAATACACCTGGGGTACTTTAAAGGAGCCAATTCAAAGGCTCTCCAGAGACAGTCCTGAACACAGGCAAAATAAGTTACCACTGATAAAACCCATTAAAGATGTGCTTAAAATAAAAAAGCTGAAAGCACCTTATGAAATAACGCATCATGAATGCATCAGTAGGAACTACAAATAGCAGTAGACGCTAAAACTTCAAATAACATAATCATCAGGTAGAAACTATATTTTTAAAATATATTTTAAATTATGAAAAGCATAAAATAAGGAATTGTCTGGCCTAGTATTAATTACTATAGATACACTCTAGAATTTAATGGAGTGTGACACCATCAGATCATCCATTTAGACAGATCATTGTGGTGACAGTACAGTGGGAGGATCTGAAAAACCAAGACCAAGAGAGAAGGGTATTACAGTCATCAAAGAAAGAAATAGGGAAGTGAACTAGGGTAGTGATAGCAGTCATAAAGAATAGTGGATAGAATTAAGAAATATTTGTAAGTAAAATTATAGAGTTTTTGTGACAGATTGATAGTGGACTGCAAGGCATCAGGAGGAATTTATAATGCCCAGGTTTCTGGTTTAACTGATGGTTGAGTGAAGAGGTCACAAAAAGAGATAAGGAATGTGGAGGAGGTGTTAGAAGGAAGAAGCGCAATTTAGTTCAAAGTAGATTTGAGGAACATCTTTACTTATAATAAGAAATTTAATATAGTAATTTAAAACATCCAGGTTAGGATTACAGATTTCTAAGTTAACAGAAGAAGCAATGCATATGAATAAAATTGTTCAGGGACACTAGAGAGAGATAAAAAGCAGTAGACAATGGACTAAATTCTGAGGAAGACTGATATTTATGCAATGGTCAGAGGATGAAAATAAAATCTAGCTCAGGAACAGTCAGCAGTTTAAAAATCGTAAGGACACAGTCACAAATATCTACAGGATATAGACTTTCAAAAAGGAAGAGCTAATCATTTCTGTTTAATACAGCACTGAAAACAAACAAGATCTGAAAAATGTTTATTGCATTTAGCAGCTTGAATATTACTGGTAATTTTAGTAAGAAGATATTTTAACTTCCTGATTAGAATTGATAAACCTCTAGCAAGACTGACAAAGAATAAGAGTAAACATAAATTACCAATATCAGGAGTGAAGCAGGAATATCACTACAGACAATGCAGACATCAAAAGAATAATAAGAAAATACTATGAAAATTCTTCACACATAAATCTGACAACTTACATGAAATGCACCAATTTCTCAAAAAACACAAACCTCATTCAACATGAAATAGATCATTTGAATAACTTTATAATTATTAAGGAAATTGAATTCACAGTTTAAACCTCCCCCCCAAAAAACAAAAAACTCCACATTCAGATGGTTTCACTGGAGAATTCTACCAAAAACTTAAAGAAGAATTAATATGAATTCTATACAATCTCTTCCAGAAAATAGAAGAGAAGAAAATATTTCCCAATTCATTCTGTTAAATTAGTATTACCTTACCTAAACCTAAAAAGACCAAAACCTGAAAAGGCATTACAAAAAAACTACAGACCAATATCCCTCATAAAGATGCAAAAATCCTTAACAAAATATTAGCAATTATAATTCATCAATATATAAAAGGAATTATACACCACGACCAAATGAGGTTTATTCCAGGGTGCAAAGCTACTTCAAAATTCAAAAACCAATCATTGAAACATACCATACCAATAGCTAAAGAAAAAAAAAAATCACATGATCATATTGATCATGTAGAAATCATGTAGATAAAAATACTAGAAAAACAGAAATACAGAAAGGGGGGAACTTCCTCAACTTGATAAAGAATACCTGTAAAAAACCTACAGCTAATACACTTCATAATGAAAGACTGAACAATTTTACCCTAAGATTGGGAAAAAGGCAAGGATGTCGCTCTCACCACTCTTCAACACAGTACTGCAAGTTTTAGCCAGTGCAGTAAGCAAAAAAAAGGGGGGAAAATAGGGCACACAGACTGGGAAGGAAAAAATAAAACTGTACCTCTTTGTAGATGACATGATTGTCCACACAGAACATCCCAAGGAATCTACAGAAAACCTCCTAGAATTAGAGTTCCACAAAATTGCAGGATACAAGATAAACACATAATGTCAATTGTATTTCTGCATGCTAATGAACTTATAGATACTAAAATTAAAAATTCTATACTATTTATAACTGCTAAGAAAAAAAAGACATGCTAGGTACAAATCTAATAAATCATATATAGGACTTGAGTACTAAAAACTATAAAATGCTGATGAAAGAAATAAAAAACCAGCAGACTCAACATAGTAAAGATGTCAATTCTCCCCAAATTGATATATAAGTTTAATGTAATTTATATCAAAATTTCCACAAGATTTTTTTTGTAGACAGAGACAAGATTATTCTAAAATGTGTGTGGAAAGGCAAATAATTAGAATAGCCAAAACAATTTTCATCAATAAAAATAAAGTAGAAGGAATCAGGCTACCCAATTTGAAAACTTATACAGCTACAGTAATCAAGACTGTGAGTAACTGGCAGTGGGACAGACACACACGGAACAAAATAGAGAACCTAGAAA